TATGTTTAAATAGTGCTTGGGTTTTTTTATAATTTCAACTCCCATTTTGGGTGTTTTAGTGAAACTCCCTAAATTTTATGGGTGGGCTATATTTAGCCCTCAACTACTAGAGATGGCCTAAATATAATCTTGTGCTCTAGAATCACTTTCTACTTATTTATTAAAATTTATAACAAAAAAGGTATCTACGATGTAAAGTATGAATAAGCACTGACATGAAAAACATGTCAGTTGGAAACTTGTTTCTCTTTTTAAGAGAGAGAATTTGGGTAATGTTTCGGGATTGAATCCAACCCGACCAGTAATAACATCAATCTCATTGATTAGACGATGGGCCGGTCTTTAAATTTGGGCTCTGGAATTTTGGCCCGAATTCAAATCTGGGCTATTAATACAGACCTAAACAATTGGATTTGGACTTAGGAGCCCAAATTCAAATTCACTCCTACCCAAACAAACGGCCCAAAAATTATTTCAATTCTCAAATTTTCTTCAGCAGAAAAATTAAAGACTTGCAACTAAACATAATCAAATAGAAATATTGTGCTCCCAACGACGACAAGTATCATATAAATCATACGCAAACGAAACATGTCAAATGCCTCTGAAGTTCTTTTTCTTTTTTGAATAAAATACAAATCGCAACCTCTCATTGATTTATGAAAATTTGAAATAGAATCCAACCTGTGTAAATTTGTAATTATGTTCAATCTTAATCATTGTTTAAATGGTTACAAGAATTATTACTATGCCTTTATGCTTCAATAATATTATTTGGTGGACCAAAATGATATTAGGGCAATAATTGGAGGACTATTTATGTCGAAAATCCTTTGATTTTTTAAAAAGAAAATAAAAGGAATAGCGCTTTTATTATTATATATTTCATAAAACGACAAGTAGTTCACTACAGAATAAACTCTAAACAAGCATCTCTGTCAATGTCTTGGAATGATCTGTGGTTCAAGGTAATCGATTGTATTTCAAGGGGATGATGTCATTATGAATCATTTGCTTTCTTTACTTCCACAGCATCCCTCATGTTGGATTTAGTCATGTCTTATGTTTAGTGGGGTGCTAGACTAAGGACTGGATTGGATTCGATTGATCTTAGTCATGTCCTATATTTAGTGGAGTGCTAGACTAAGGGGGACTAGAGGCAAAATAGCGCTATTTAGTACTATCCTATGTTTGGTGCAATCTAGAACGGACTATATTTCTAAACTTTAAACATTAAACCCTTTTTTTTTATGTTCTTAAATGTGGATTATGAAAAATTACAAACTTATAATTACAAAAATTATAACTAAGAAATAATTCCAAAACTAATTTTACTATTATCAAAGTCTTCAACCAATATAAATTCAAAAGTCTTCAAGTACCAATAACACATAAACTGGATGCAATGAGATCCCTGCCTTCACTCTAATCCTTCAAAAGATGCACAGCCAGAACTCTTCCAAAACAGAGATAGAATTTGCACATCGTCGTGCTTCCAGACACATAATGCTAATACAGCCAGAGCACAAAGTTCAAAATTTGGATTCCTCCATGGATTGGTAGATAGAGAGAGAACATGTCGATCTGTTGGAAACATTTTGTGGCCAGGGATAAGCCGAATTCCGAGCGGGGATTAATCTCACCCATTGATTGTGGGGACACCTCGTGGTATTTTCCCAAAAAAAAAAGAGAAAATCTATGGAAAAAATGCAGAAATTTTTTACTTATCATTAGAACCATTATAATAATCAATTAATGCATATATAATAACGGAAAACATTTTGCATGAATATATGAACCTTGCCTAGTTACATATAGTTTTACTAGTTACATATAGTTTTATTATATTATTACCTTAAAAAAAATTTAAAAATATGGAGAAAAAAAAAAAGTGTTAATACAATAACGGCAACGTGGAGGCTTCGGAATAAAAGTAATTCGATGATAGAAAAGAATTATTCCAATGGAGGGTTGGTTAGTTTCCAATTTTTGCTTGTATCCAAACAGTCGATATTCAGATGCAATGCCTGCCACTAACGTCCAATATTTGCTCCATCTCTACTCTATCCATCACCACGAACGAGAACAGAAAATTGGATACCTCATTTAAAATTTTTAAACAAACAAATAACAAATAAGTTCGGCCAAGAAAAAATAAAAAACCAACAGGGTACCCATATCTTATTCATTTTCTTCTTCTTCTTGCTTTTATAACACGGATGGTGAGAAAAATTAAAACATTTGATGGTGCATTGAACACTTTGTTTTTCGTTAACTCAAAGTCAAAGAGGTTAATATCTGATGATGCAAAAAAAAAAATACATATATATATATATATATATTTGAGCTTCAGTTGAGGGATATTCTTGTAGGGCTTATTTCTTATTGTATTTTACTAATCCAAACTGTCTATTTGTATATATTCATTCCAATATCATCTCTACAAAAAAATCATTTGAATCAGATATCATTTGATCACTCAATTAAATTATTGAATTTTAATACTTTCTTGAAATATCACGTTCATTGATTTCGTAGGACAAAATTGAATGTCGAAACAGTTTTCGATTTGTCTAATTTTTTGCAAGGATGATCTATGAATGTATATTTAAAAAATAGATTGTTTGGATCATTGACATTTTTTTTTGTAGAAGACCCTAAAAGGTGTCCCTCAAATAAAATTATTTGAGAGATTCCTTAATAAAAGGGGACTATATATATAATGATTTTTGAGTTGATAGCACACCAGTACTTTGAGATCATCCAATGAATTTATCCAATATAAATGTTGGATAGAGAGATTCTTTGCACTAAACTCAAATATTTAAATTGATTCAGATGCTTTGAATAACACAAGTAAATACATAGTATGCCTTAATAATTTGCAGTCATATAATTCTTCAAAAACAAGAAACTATTTTTCTTTATATATCCAATGATGATAAAGAAAAGGGAATGCAATCTTCAGTCTTGTAACTTGTAAGTACCTAATAAGTGCTTTTTTTTTTTTAATAAATAAGTGTAAGCATGCAAGTCCTCGAACCAGACAATGTCAGTTCTCTAACCTAAAACCTTAGTTT